AGCACGGTGAGGATGGCTCCTCAGCTGCGAATATAAATCCTCCTTTCTGTTCGGCAGTCGATGTTTGGGCATGCACATAGACGACAGAGATGTTCGTAAAGTGGCCCTTTAGACGAGCGTAAGCTATCCTATCATTAACTGCTTCCCATGTCAGTAGTGCACGGTTTGCTTGTTTCGAGAGGGCAATAGCCACATCGTGTATAACCTAATAGAGGTCTGGGTTACTGTGATACAGGGTGGGGTGGGAATCGACTCCAGGGATTTTTTCTCGTGCGAGTCAAGAATTCGGACTTTGGACAGGCAGAAAACATCCACGTGGTAGTGATGAAGACTGCCCGCCTTTAAACTTGGATATCAGGGTCGCCATGTCACAGTGCCGTCATTGAGACTTGCGGCATTTTATAAGGCAGTCGGTTTGCCAGACTTTAGCCCTCGCGATTTGGTAGCACTGTCGCTGCTGGTCCGCGACCGATTATTCATCAGACCCAGGTGCCTGCTTATTTCGCAGCTAACTTTCGCTGAAGGCCGCTCCATTATTTGCCACATGTTGACGCGCCAGGTACGTGCTTTGCTGTTGTTCAACCCTTGTATGGCATGAAAAAATTCTCTTTTAGAAGGCGGTCGCATGACACTACATAGAAAATAGAGGGCGGAAACCGCTGCAGATGGGAAGGGAAGGTGCTGAGTTCGATATAAAAGTTGGGAAGGTGCGCGAAATGCTCATGCCAGCGAGCGAACTTGCTCGAGTTGTCAGCTATAAAGCCGCCATACACGTCACGGGAAATCAGTTAATGAAGAGGGCTTAACATTAACTTAGGCATATGCCTCGAATGCAGTGTATCAGTCTAACTATCCTTCAAAAAATGAACCATAGAAAGGACGGGTTAAGCATTTGGTCTTTATAGCAAATGATGATAGCCAAGGGACAAATCGAAGGATCGTAGGGTGGTTGACGTTGACTATTAGGAGTTAATTAAGTCTGACTACGTTGAACTATAATTTCGGACTGTGGTAGTCATTTGATCAAGTTGCCTTAATGTGTTAGTGCACCACATAGAGAAACACAGAGAAACGTGTGGAACTCTGCTTGTGTACAGTCATTGCACTTTTATGTACTACTGGTTATGCGAACTAAAACCGTTTGTAGCCGTCACTAAAGCCCAGAAGCAAATGCGTTCACATAAAAGCAAATTAAAGAAAATTTTTCGCGCAAACCTGCTGAAAAGGGACTTCGCGATTCAGAGAGTGGCATGTTATTCAGTAACTGTCTAATATTTCGGAAAGCTGCTGAATTTGCACTGGGGTGTACAGCAAGCAGAGCTGCCGCCTCGATCGTTCGTGCTTGTAAAACAAGAGTAAGCGCAGTTGGCCAAAACTGTATGAAGAGTTCGTTCCCGGGGTCATCAAAGACGGAGTACATATCATGTGTCCGCCCACAAGTAGCGAGGATGTTTCGAGCAATATTTGCAGCTTCTTGTGATTGCACAAAATGCCAGCTGGCTAGATTGTATGCTAAATGGCCGGGAGGCGAAACCTAAATTGCAAAATATTTCCTGAATATTTCTGTTACCTGAAAAAGCACTACTTCTGCAAGATGCCATACAAGTTCATAAGCTTTGATCAATTCCCCTTCCGCCGCTAAAAACGTTTTCTGGTCGTCTGAAATACCATGACCGGACTCTAGTATTTTCGAAAAAGTAATTAAGAAAGACTTACCCAAAAATTCGAAAATTTCTTGAAGGCACATGGCTAGGGCCGTCCGGTATTGCTGACTCAAGCGCAACAGACTAAAGAATGCAATTATGAAAGGTGTCTTACTCTTCTTTGCCTGTGCAAGCTTCAGTGGCCCTGAATATGTCTTAATACGTCAATTAAAGATAGATAAATACCATAGGAGGCTCTTATGAGCCGTCGCACGAAGTCGTTCCCCCTACATGTAGGAGAACATTTGACCTCGTACATGATAGTTTCGTCACATTGTACAACCTTATCTACCTTTTTAAACGCTTTAAAAACTTGAAAGGTTTGAACGCCAGACCATTGGAAAGTTAAGTTGCCTTCTATCGGCACTTCACACCTGTACGTGGCCGGCATCCCGAATATGATAATTCAAGTTATATTTTGATATTTCACCTGAATTACAGTATAATAAAAGAAAATCGGTAATGCGAGTTAATTTGTTCTCATAAAGTTGCAAAACTTCCCATCCGGGGATAAAGAAGAGCATTTAGCTAACAAATGGTAGTTTTAATAAATGTTCACCGAACCATTACATTCATATGGGAATGAGGTGTAAGTTAAGTAAGCATTCGACAATGGCCTTTTATCATAGAAGTGGGTGGTGGGAATAGGAGAGAGGTGTTCGGCGGTCCATAAGAGACACATGTAACTAAGTGCCCGTAGGGCATACCAGGTGCGAATTTTGCATTTAGGTTTTTTGTGCGTATAAGACTGCATTACTCAACCGAATAGCAGTTGAATCTGTTGTTGCTAGCAAGCGCTAACCCAGACATTTGGGGTAGATTTGTGCAACCTTATAAATCACCGGAAGTCTTCGTCTCGGCCCGGAATCAACCATGTGCTCCAGAATTGCACTGTTTATCTTTTTGACAGCATCTTTTCTCGGCCACGCTGGGGGGTCATCCTTATTCTTGTTGATGGACAAGGGCAATTGATGCAAAAGAAACTGTACATGCAGCCTACATTGA